TTTCTTTTCTGGACAAAAAGGAAAACAATCTAAAATCAGAATGCAGTAAGTGGTTGAGAACACAATAATGTCATTAACAAGCAACACACCCACGCACACACACACACACACACACACACACACACACACACACATAAATGCAATTTAATAAGCAACACATACACTAATCTGATAATGCCTGCCAGTCGAGTACTATGATAAAAACATACATATAACACAAGCAACATGCAACATGTTTATATTACACGATCAACAAAAGCATTGGCAGTTTGGCAAGAAACAATAAAAACACACAATTGATGATTAAATCCCTAATACATTAATCCCATTGACATCCATTCACAGTCATTCCTCCATCGACAGGCACAACTTGTCCAGTGATGTATGAAGCTGCAGGGAGACAAAGGAATGCCACCAGGGATGAAACTTCTTCAGGCTCTCCAATTCGCCTCATGGGAGTTCTTGATTCTATTTTCTTCAAGTTGTCATTAGCCCCAATCCAATCTTCCACCAGTGGGGTTCTGATGTACCAAGGTGCAACAGAATTGACCCGAATGTTATCTTTAGCCCATTCACAAGCCAAATTTCTTGTGAGTTGATTCATTGCAGCTTTAGTTGCTGAATAAACAGATGAATATTGCAGACCTACCAAACCTGCAACGGAGGAGATGAATACGATGTTTCCATTCTCAGATGACTTCAGAAGAGGATAAGCAAGTTGGGAGAGATGGAAGCCAGATTCGAGGTTCATAGACATAATCATATGATATTCCTCAGCTGTAAAATCTTCAGCTGGCTTCCTCACGCCTGTTCCAACATTATTTACTAGGATATTAAGCTTTCCATCAAAGAGGGAAGAGACCTTTTCGATGATCTCAATTCTTTGCTCTCTTGAGGATGCATCGCAGATGGAGCCAGTGATCTTGTATCCCTTGGAGGACCATTCTTGTAAGAGTTGATTTAGCTCTGCTTCTTTTCTTGCGAGAGTGTGGACAGTGGCACCAAGTTGAGCTAGCTCCTCGACAATTGCGCGTCCGATTCCGCGAGTTCCACCGGTGACAAGAGCTGTCTTGCCTAACAGAGACCACCTTGAAGTTGAGGTGTTTTCTCTAGTCAGTGCCATGGATGATGTAGTTTGTTTAGATAACTCAGGCACTTGATAGAATGGAGCTCGGTAAACTGGTAGTGGACTAGATCTTGCCAAGGATTATAAAGGAGTTGGGACCTGCAAACCTGCGTTACATACCTTTCGGTGATAACATTAATAATGACAAATCGCAGTAACAAACTACTTAAAAAGGATCAAGAGAGGACGAAATCACTTTTTGGTGTTTTGTAACGGATCAGTTTCACAATTTAATACAGTTAAAGGATTTCAAGAAATAAAGGCTATCAAGAATTTATCCCCAAAATTTCGCAAAAAAAAAAAAAAAAAAAATCTGAGAGTAATGCATATATGGGTTGGATTCGGATTTGGGTCCAGGTCTGGGTCTGATTTTGAGTATGAATTATATAAAATTAAACTCCGTGCAAATCAATGATTCTTTTACCGGATTCGAATTGAGCAATATGAATCCAAATCACAAAAAACATAATTGATCCGAGTTAGGTTTGGACAATATTTGACCCATTGACATATCTGGATGTGACTGTGGCTATGGCGGCGAGGCAAAGTACATTTCACCCAAGAAATTGACATCTAGGGTGGGTTGTGTAACGTCATTTGCAACAAAGGAATCATTCTAATAAAACAAATTTTTTTTTTTTCATTTTGTAAAAGCAAAGTGTATGTTGTCAAAGTAATGCATCATAGTTTGAACTAATAACTTTTGCAATGATATTTATTATTTAATTTAGTAGTAACATTAATTCACATGTAGATGTTGTTAAGCACAACAATTAAGAAGGAAATGAACAAATAATCATAACTAGAGAAACACACACATATCCTGCAGCTTCATCGCGTCACACGATAACGAATAATTACTTGGGACAAATTACCATCTCAACAAGCTACTGGATAACGACTAATAATCATATGTTCGGTACCTTCAATGTGCCAAAGTGAAGGCTGAAGTTCTCAAGATCCTCTTTCCCTGCGGTAGCTAAATTTAGTATTTTCCCCAAAACTGAGCTTTGCTTATAGTACATTGATGGGGTCACCCCTGAAAGTTTTTCGAAAAAATATTACCCATTTAATGCACTTCCATAATTTTCTCTCATTATGATTTTTTCTTGATAACGCCTCCTATTTGCCATGATTAAAATTAAAAAAAGGCCCTTTTATTAGTGTGAAATTCCATTTAAGGTAATCTAGAACTTTCAAGTTTTTCTCTATCACGGAGTGTATGCCATCCTACCTCGGTTGTTTAATATATTATTTAAAACGAAAAATTTTGCCAATATGAACCATGCAATTATCAATCTATGAGAGTTTTTAAGAGTAATTAAATTTTGTACTAGGTGTTGGCCAACAAAAAAAATCATAATTGTAGTAATTGGGAAGAAAATATTCCAGTGAAAAAGGAAAAAAGAAGCTAGTACAAATGGGTGAATGATAAAAATAAAATCAAGTGTTATCACAAACAATTGCATCCTAAACATATTGGATTTAGTGAATTGATAATCGCAATACATATACGATGTTATAAACTAAATTACTCAACCCTAAACTTTCTCTCTCCCCTCTCTCTACCCTCAATCTTCTCTCTACTCTTCTTCCCTCATAGGAGGGAGATCTTGGTTCCACTTCTTTTGTTCTCCCTTTCTATTCCTTTGTTCTTATTTTTATTTAATAAAATCTCTCTTAAGGTACCATAATGAGAGTTTTTTTCTTTCTCAGGCTAGGCTATTTTGGTGAGAGTTTTCTTCTCTTCTAAGTTATCCCAGTGAGAGTTTTGTTTAGTTTTTATTTTTTTGTTATTTATTTTCTTAGATCTAAGAATTTTTTCAGATTTATTTATTAGATCTAAAATTTCTTGGGTCTTCTCATCAGATCTCAACATCAGTTTTGAGGTTGAACCAGTTGGATAGCAGACTGAGGGAATAAACATGCACAGATATCTATAAAGCGGTTTGTTCAATTGGTCAGATTTGATGATTGATGATACACAATGTAATTTTTTATATTTTGTAACTTTATTAAATCTTATGATTTTTCAGATCAAACATATCTGTGGCATGTTTAATGTATTTTCTGCCATAAGTGCAGATTACTTTGTCAAGTAAATTGTGTTGGACGATTTCCAACAAGATGATTAATAATATTGACCTAAGTTTTTTTTTTAAAAAAAAACTAATTTTAATTTAATTTAAATTATTAAATGTCATAACTAATAGATGCTCAAGAGAGTCATTTTTTCTCATTGACCTTTCAATCATATATGTTAAAAAGTATCTTTCAAGAATACATGAGATGTCCTAATAATTTTGTAATTGATGTACAACTAAAAATAAAAAGGAGGCCGTTATTTACCTTTTAGGTTTGACATGCAATACTGAATCAAAACTGCTACCAATTCACCAGTGATAAAATTTACAAATTTTAGTTGGTTGTATATTAACATTAGGCTTGTCTGAGGAATTGCATGGCTTGAAAAGAAGAAAGAAAAGAATAACGGCTGGCCGTACAAATTCATACCATTTTCAGACAAAGTAGCGTTCAAAACGCAAATGTTAAACAACACAAATCCCCATGGGTTTGCAGAACCCTTCAGATAAAGATGTTAGATTTCTCCACTCACCAAAAATTAAGTCCAGGTTCAATTCAATCGAAAGAACAATTTGGCATGAAGTAAAATTGGTAGACTACAGTGGCGATTTATGGTTCCCAACTTCCCGTACCCATACACATACGGCTGCTGTTATTTGCGTTCCGTTCCATTTGGCGCTTCCATGCTGCAAGTAACCTGCATCCCAAGTTTCCGGGCAATACGGCAAAGCTGGTTAGTGCGGGAAGGGAATACTTATAGAATCATCTTTTCTTTTTCTTCACCTCAGTCAATGTTGCAGGCAATTTTTTAAGAGCATCTGAAATTTCATATGTATGGAAATTAGGTGCGAGACTGGAAAGAAGAATAACTTGCGGTTTCTTTGTTATCTCCACGTCCGATATCGCATGCATATGTCGAATTCATTCAAGCGTTCATCAGGTCTGCTTCTTTTCTCGCAAAAGTGTGGACTGTGGCTCCTCCACTATTGCACGGCAAACACCGCGAGTTCCACCGGTGACTAGAGCTGTTGTTCCTGACAGAGACCATCTTGAAATGGCTTTTTTCCAATTTTGACATGGGCGGTTGCGGGCCTTGTTTGTATAACGTATTCTCAAGCATTTTTCATTTTCGATACACGCTCGGTTCAATTGTGGACAAAAGAGTTGCTGGCAAATAATTGATGGACCTGGGGCCAATGCACGATTGCTGTCAAGAAAATTTGGTTCTTTTTATTTTCTTGTAGTGTACATTAGAATCAAAGTCTAATACGACTACTGATAGCTAATCAAGCGACTCCACAGAATTCATGACTTTTTCGATCAAAAATAATGTTCAAAATAACTTCTCAGTCAATGGTAAAATCTGAAAGAAGAAAATTAAATGAAAAGAAAAACTAACCATCCGTTTGGTTGGAATTCAACAATGGCAACGAGTATCAAAAGTTCCTCGAGGTTTTGGGCTACTGCTTTTCACTTAATTAGGTTGCGATAGGAATCTATGAGATATTTTCCATTTTCTTTTTATTACTATAATGGATTTCCTTTTTTTTTCTTTATCAATTTTTTTTCCTTGCTTCATGATAGGATCGGCTGATCTCTAGAGCCAAACCGCCTCCAAGAACCGGCCAACAACCATAGCCTGTGACATTAGGAAACACAGCAGTCCCGAAAAGTGACTTCAGAAGTGTATCTCAAATGCTTCAAATCATCTCCACCAATTTTAGTAAAAGCAAAATTTCAATTGAAATTCAAGTTTGTACAAATCTGAAAACCCGCTGCCGTCACCGCCAATTGCTCCTCAAAAATATCAATTCACCATGACTACGCAACATCTCACAGCGACAGATATGAACCAAAAATCAAGAAACCTCAGCAATATCATATAGAATCCAGTCAATAACTAGCGAAGTAAAAAAGAAGAAGAAAACGCAACCATCTCTAACTTGGGTCCCATATTTCACCTATGCTGGAGGATTGAAATTATTTTTGTTTAACCTCTCTCTAAATTCTCTGATCAATTTTATTTGAGATGTTATGCTAACACCCTCCTCCACACCCCTCCCCCTCCAAAAAAAAGAAAAAAAAGAGACGCTCCTAGTTTCATCTCCACCACTGTCAGCCTACAACCACCCATGTCAACGGTGGGAGAAAACAACTCTGGATGGTCTTTGTCGGGAACGACAACTCTAGCCACTGGTGGAAGATGGTCCCTGTCGGGAGCAACAGCTCTAGTTACGGGTGGAACTCATGGAATTGGCCGTGCAATTGTGGTGGAGCTAGCCCAACTCGGTGCCACAGTCCACACTTGTGCAAGAAAAGAAGCAGACCTGAATGAACGCTTGCAAGAGTGGTCCTCCATGGGATTCAAAGTCAGTGGTTCAGTCTGTGATGCATCTTCAAGAGAGCAAAGAACTCAGCTCATCGAAAAGGTGACTTCCATCTTCGGTGGAAAACTCAACATCCTTGTAAATAACGTTGGAACAAGCAAAGGGAAGCCATCTGAAAAATTTACCTCTGAAGAGTACGACATGATGATGTCTACAAATCTTGAATCTTGTTTCCATTTTTCCCAACTCGCTTATCCTCTCCTAAAGGCCTCTGGGATCGGAAACATAGTCTTCATTTCCTCTGTTGCAGGTTTGGTAAGTATACAAGGTTTATCTGTTTATGCAGCAGCCAAGGGCGCAATGAATCAACTGACCAAGAATTTGGCTTGTGAATGGGCTAAAGATAACATTCGCGTAAATTGCGTTGCCCCTGGGGTCATTAGGACCCAATTAAGCCAAGCTGTACTCAATTCTGATGAAAAATGGAAGAAATTCAAATCAAGAATTCCAATGAATCGAGTTGGAGAGCCAGAAGAAATTTCATCCCTGGTAGCTTTCGTTTGTCTCCCAGCTTCTTCCTACGTAACCGGACAGGTTATAGCTGTCGATGGAGGACTGACTGTTAATGGAGTCCAGTGGGACTAATCGTTGAACCATTCTTTCTTCTTATTGATGCTATTCGGGAAGAAGTATTGTTTAATCTAGAAGCACTTTGAGGTAAAATAATGGTTTCTATGGTAAAATATATATTAAGAATTGGCTTGCATATCGTCGGTTGGTGTACTCAGCACTGTATAGTGTGTACTACTACTATATTCTACATGCATGCAATTTCAAATATTCCAGTATCTCCAGCTAATTTGCCTATTGAATTATTTTGTATTGGTTTTTTTTTTTTCAAATCTCTTTTTGAATTCATCTGATTTATTATGCGTATTGTTTTTTTTTTCAATCTCTTTTTGAATACATGTGGACATAGCATGTCCTAAATGTGTGGATAGACAGTTTCTTTTGCCTTTCTCCTAGGTGTGGATAGACAGTTACAAGAAAACCAAAGATATGACAGAAGATTAACGTTTTGCACTAATCCAAATAAAATTTCTTGAGTTTAGGGGCCGTTTCAATTGTATCTATCGGAATGATTATGTGGACAAGAAAAAGGATCGTGAGAGAGAATACAGTTGAACTTTCTACACTCAAAAAATTAAAAAAATGAAAGAAATGTTCTAAAAGTACATGAGATCCATATACCATATTCAAAGGTGGAAAATATAGAAAACTACAAAACACCCTAAAACCAAGATGAAGCTAAATGCTTTTCTTGAGAAAATAAAGGTTACTACAATAAAACTTACTCAACCATTTTGAAGATATGGGTTGTATTAGTTGTAAATAAGACTTTCAGAGACCATGCATATGGTTTGAAGGAAAGGAAAGAAAAAGATACTAACGGAAAAGAAACGAAAGGAGAGTAGAGCTGTAGAGGAGTGTGATTTTCATCTATCTTGTTTGGATTAAGTGTGAAAGGAAAAGAAATGAAATACTGAATTTTTCTTTGGATTGAAAAAATGAAGAAAAAAAGGACAAGAAAAAGATCAAGTGTTAATTTACTAGAAAAGATATGAAAAAAATTATTTTTCAAAATTTTAATTATTTTAATTAATTTAGTTTCATTTCCCTCAATTTTCGTTCACTTTTGGGGGGAAATCATAACTGACCAAAATAACTAGAGCTTTTTCCTCCCTATCCTTTCCTTTTCCTTTTCAAAAATCAATCCAAACAATAAAAATTAACATTTGGTCGCATCGTGGTTTCCATGCTGCAATCAATCTGCATCCCTAATTAGTGCGGGAAGGGAATACTTACAGAATCATCTCATAACGGCTGCATTAATCTTCTAGCAGAATGGAAGAGATTTGATAATTTGTCTGTGGTAATGCAGTGGCATTCATGCCTTGTGACTCTTGCACCAAATGCAGCATTGCTTCTTTATTTATGTTTTTTTTTTTTATAGTAAAGCTTTTGGTTCATCTTAGTCAATGTTGCAGGCAATTTAAAAGTATCTGAAATTTCATATGTATGGATATTAGGTGCGAGACTGGAGCGAAGAATAACTTGCAGTTTCTTTGTCATCTCTACGTCCGATATCGCATGCATATATCTGATTCTTCGTAAGATTCTCACGTAACTTGTCGTCTCAAACTTTGTGGGAGTGTGGAGATTTAGTTCAAGTTAATTTTACTCTTGTAGTTGATTGACTCTACGTGTTATTGTTTCATATAATTGTGAAATGATCAAGTGACTCAAATTGATTTGAACTCTAACATTTGTACTGTATACTTTCGTCAAGAGAATATCATCAACTAAATGACATTTTTTTTATAAAATTTTTCTTGAGCGAAATTGGAGAAAGTAGAAGGGTTTAACTTGGGAGTGGATCCAAGATCTCATGCTAAAAATACAATCACATTATCATAGGTAGTTGTATTTATCAATTTTTTTTTTAAAAAAAGATGTGAATGCATTAAGTCTCATTAGCCATCTTCTCTCTTCTAGATCACTTGGCTGCTGATTGAAAAGAATTGATGGATCATTTCAATATTTGAGTTTTACCAACGCTTGATCAAATTCTTTTCTAATTAATTTTGGCTATAATTTCTATCTCTTCTAAGAACTTTTATCTATTCAATAAAACTAAAATTATTTCTTCTTAAGGTTTCTCTCTCTCTCTCTCTCTTCTAACAATATTTAATAATTATGCCTAATTTGTTTTATCAATATGGATTAATTTTACAAAGTGTGATTTTAATTGTTACATTACTAAACTCATTAATGTCTTAAAATTTAGAATATTCATTCTATGAAAAATTAATTATTGCAATTTTTGTATTTAATCGAGTACGAATATGCAGTTTTAGGTTTATTGCCAATAATGTAACAATTTTAATTTTTCAATAAAATCTATCAATTTGTCATTATGCACTACAGTAGTTGATGTATATGTTATTGCATTATAATAAGATCCTCTCTACTGTATGTCTTAAAGGTACAGGATAAGTATACAAAATAGAGGATGTGAGCCGACAATAAAATTCAAACATTATCCTCTGAATTGTGTAAATCTTTACTTACAAAATTTAAACTTTTACAAATAATTAAACACCCAACTTTAAAAACTAGTATCGCTAATTAAACACTTATATTACATTAATGTTTTAAAATTAGTAAGAGTGACTGTGTAAGATTATTGTTCATTTTTTTCATTTATATTGTTTATACTTCCACAAGTTCACAACTAATTAAAGGGAAAAAAACTAACATGCTCGGGCTGAATGCTAGCTGAGACTGAATTGTATTAGAGGAGGTAATTAAAACTTAAAGGATGAGAGTGCACTGGGCTTTAATTGGGTTCAACCTATCTTGATCCCAACTCAACCCACTATTAACTTGAGATTAATATTTAGGCCCAAATTTCAGCCCAACCCAACGTTAGAAAATTTGGACGCTCAATGGTTCAATCAGCTACAGATGCATTTTCACTCTATCCATAGAAAATCACACATTCCTAATGCACCAAAAAAAAAAAAAAAAAATGGAAAAAAGCATTTTTTTGGGTAAGTTAAAATTTATTTCCAACTAGTAAAATGTACGTTATAATCAATACAATAAAATTGATTGACAATGTGAAATCAGTGGAAAAAAGCATTGCCAATAAAAAATAGCTTTTTTTTTTTTTACTTACAATCAAGTAAAAAAAAAAGCATTGCTAGCATCGAGAAACGATTCAAACCAATATCTTGCAGAAATAATGCAACGATAACAAGATCAAATGGTTTTTAATGATTAGTCCAGTGTTTAGTCCCAGTGGATTCCATTGACAGTAATTCCTCCATAGACAGTTATTACTTGGGATCCTCGGTTACATTTTTTTCAGTGCCAACCCAATGCCACCACTAGAATTGCGTCAAGTGTTTTGTTGTCATTAGCACTTTAATTTTTTATTAACTCAAATTGGTTCAAAGTTAACACAATTTTTCTTATTATCTAAAACTCTGAACCAAAAGGCACCCGGCCGGTCTAACTCCTGCATCAATAATTTTGTACAGCTGCTGCTTTGGGGAAAAAGAATAAGAAAACCTTCTGTTTTCGATGATTGCCTTCATTTGTGGCTTGATCGATGGTGCTCCAGTAAACCATTAGCCCAAGAGCTTTGTGTCGTGGATCCGCCGCATCAGTTGGTTTCGGATTTCTTTGGTCCAAGAATTCGATGGTGCTCCAGTAAACCATTAACCAAGAACTTGTCCTGCTCCTCGGGGATTTGCAAAAGGATGTGTATAAGAAAATAGGTCCTAGCCCTGTTGCATCTAATACGGTGTTTATTGCCAAAAGAGAGCACATCTTTGGGAAGAGAGTATACACTACAAAGGCTCAATTCTGTGACCACGGGCCGATGCATGACATCGAAATTGAGTGCGATACTGGGGGGATTAACGATCCATCTCTGGCCATCAGCGTGGATAGCAGAGCGGTGTTGCAGGTGAAGCGGCTGCGGTGGAAGTTCAGGGGGAACCAGACTATTTTGGTGGATGGACTGCCGGGGGAAGTGTTCTGGGATGTTCACAGTTGGTTCTTTGGGAATGTTATGGGCAATGCTGTTTTCCTGTTTCAAACCTGTCTCTCGGCCGAGATGCTGCGAAACAGAGGGTTTTCTTGTTCTTTTTTCCCAAAGCAGCAGCTGTACAAATTATTGATGCAGGAGTTAGACCGGCCGGGTGCCTTTTGGTTCAGAGTTTTAGAGAATAAGAAAAATTGTGTTAATTTTGAACCAATTTGAGTTAATAAAAAATTAAAGTGTTAACGACAACAAAACACTTGACGCAATTTTAGTGGTGGCATTGGATTTGGCACTGAAAAAAAATGTAACCGGAAATCCCAAGTGGACAGTTACAAGTCAACCTGTCCGATTATCTAGGAAGCAGCAGGGAGACAAAGGAAAGCAACTAGGGATGAAACTTCTTCTATTTCCCCCACGCGCTTCATGGGTTCTATTTTCTTCCGCTTTTCATTAGAACTGAGAACATGTTTGGCTAACAAGGTATCAATAATGTTAGGAAATTGGTTTGATTTTTTTTAAATAGGGTCAAGTAATGTAATTTATAATAGGTCTGAGTTGGCATACTATAAGGTGGCATATAAGGGGTGACATATAAGTTTATACATGGAGAGAGAGCGAGTTCTTAAGAGATGAAAGATGATATACAATGGTTGAACTTGGGTTCAAGTTGTGTTTTTGTATAGGATTTTTTCTCTCACAATAAAGAACGAATTTTCTCTCCATGGATGTACTTTAATGATGGAGGCGAATCACGTTAAATCTTGTGTGTTATTTATTTTTCATGATTGTGATTTATTTGTTATTAAATTATTGTGTTTTTGATGTCTCAATAGTTACGTATCCTGCACTTGAATCCCAATAGATAAACCCAATGCGAAACACAGTTTATCCGGACGTTATCTTTAGCCCATTCGCAAGCCAAATTCATGGTGAGTTGATTCATTGCACCTTTTGTTGCTGCATAGACAGATATATTTTGTATGCTCACAAAACCTGCAACAGAAGACATGAAGACGATGCTTCCGACCTTAGAGGCTTTTAAGCTAGGATAAGCAAGTTGGGAAAAGTGGAAACAAGATTCAAGGTTTATAGACATCACCATGTTATATTCTTCAGTAGTAAAGTCTTTGGCTGGCTTCCTTTTTGTTGTCCCAACTTTATGTACAAGGATATTGTTTTTTTTTTTTTTTTAATGAAAATGGTGTTAGATTAATCACTTATTGTGACCCATACGACCACTTAAATATATAAGTAATAAAGTACCATTATTCCACGTACACATACATGAAAGAACAAATTAAGTACTTGTATGGATAGGATCAAGGCATCATGAATCTAACTTAAGTGATAATTGAATTTATCCATACATTTATGAAACTTCACATATGAATGAATGTATATACATTTATGCTTATGTATATATATCATTGAAACAAGTGATTAATGGTATGTAAGATTCATTCAAGTAGGAAGAACCAATGACTCTTATTAATGATCAATGATGAGATAGGTCACTTATGTATTTATAAATAGGTTCTTGATCCCTCTCTCCACTAAATTAATTTGTGAGATTTACCCATCACTACAGCAAATATAAGAGAGAGTAGGAGAGGGAAGATCAAGGCTTGAAACCATATAATTCCAAGTAGAAACACATTCAAGGGCACAAGGTATGTCTTAATTGTCTTTATTCATGATTTGTAAGTCATGGTTGAAGATCTTGATATTATTTTCTAAAAATGGAAGTCACCTTTTCAATGAGCTGAGTTCTTTGCTCTCTTGAAGATGCATCATAAATTTTTTGAAATTTTGGTATCAGAATTTTTGATCGAATTCGATTTCAAATTCGTTCCGAATTCAATTCGAAATTCTGTAAATTCCGGTTTTGGGAATATAAAATTATTGTTATTATAATATAAATGTTATATTACATATATATAAAAAATTATATATATATATATATATATATGTATTTAAAAAGAATTTGAAATCGAAATAGAAATTCCAAATTCCGATAATTTGAATCAACCTTTTTCTAGCTTTGTTTGTATAACGTATTCTCAACCCTTATTCAGTTTCGATACACTCTTCCAAATAAAGTTGTTACGGTACATTTAAAAAAAAACTCCCAAAAATAACTATTCAAACCGAGACGTTCAATTGAGGACCAAAAGGGTGGTTGGCAAATAATTGATGGACCTGGGGCCAATGCACGATTGTTGTCATGAAAATTATGTTCCTTTTATTTTCTTATGGTGTACATTGGAAGTAAAGTCTAATACGACTACTGAGAGCTAATCAATATCGACTCCACAGAATTCACGTCATTTTTTTTTTTATCTAAAAGAATGTTCAAAATAACTTCAGTAAATGGTAAAATCTGAAAGAAGAAAATTAAATGAAAAGAAAACAAACCATCCGTTTGGTGGGAATTCCACAATGGCAATGGCAACGAGTATCAAAAGTTCCTCAATGCTAATAGGTTTTGGCTACTTCTTTTCACTTGTTGGGTAATTAGGTTTCAAAAGTAATCTATGAGATATTTTCCGTTTTCTTTTTATTACTATAACGGATTTCCTTTTTTTTTTTTCTTCATCAATTTTGTATTTTCTGTTGCTTCATAATAGGATCGGCTGATCTCTAGAGCTAAACCACCCCCCAGCAGGCAACCACCAGCCAACAACCGTAGCCTATGACATCAAGAAACATAATTGTAGTCCCCAAAACGTCATAAGTCTATCTCAAATGCTTCAAATCATCTCCACCAATTTTAGTAAAAGCAAAATTTCAATTGAAATCCGACAAACTATTCTTTTTTCAAGTTTGTACAAATCTGAAAACTCACTGCCGTGCTACTCAAAAATATCAATTCACCATGAAAACCCAACCTCTCACCGCAACCACAGAAATGGACCAAAAGTCAAGAAACCTCACCCATCTCTAACTTGGGTCCCATAGTTGAACTGCGCTGGAGGATTGAAACTATTTTTGTTTAACCTCTCTCTAAATGATCTGACCAAAAAAAAAAAAGACGCTTCCAGTTTCATCACCCCCACTGTCAGCCTACAACCACCCATGTCAAAGGTGAGAGAAAACAACTCTGGATGGTCTTTGTCGGGAACGACAACTCTAGCCACCGGTGGAAGATGGTCCCTGTCAGGGGCAACAGCTCTAGTTACCGGTGGAACTCATGGAATTGGACGTGCAATTGTGGTGGAGCTAGCTCAACTCGGTGCCACAGTCCACACTTGTGCAAGAAAAGAAGCAGACCTGAATGAACGCTTGCAAGAGTGGTCCTCCATGGGATTCAAAGTCAGTGGTTCAGTCTGTGATGCATCTTCAAGAGATCAAAGAATTCGGCTCATCGAAAAGGTCTCTTCCATATTCAATGGGAAGCTCAATATCCTTGTAAATAACGTTGGAACATGCAAAGCGAAGCCACCTGAAGAGTTTACCTCTGAAGAGTACGACATGATGATGTCTACAAATCTTGAATCTTGTTTCCATTTTTCCCAGCTCGCTTATCCTCTCCTAAAAGCCTCTGGGATCGGGAACATAGTCTTCATTTCTTCTGTTGGGGGTTTGGTAAGTGTACAAGGTTTTTCTATTTATGCATCAACAAAAGGCGCAGTGAATCAGCTGACCAAGAATTTGGCTTGTGAATGGGCTAAAGATAACATTCGCGTAAATTGCGTAGCCCCTGGGGTTGTTAGGACCCAATTAAGCCAAGCTGTACTTAATTCTGATGAAAAATGGAAGAAATTCAAATCAAGAATTCCAATGAAGCGAGATGGAAAGCCAGAAGAAATTTCATCCCTCATAGCTTTCCTTTGTCTTCCAGCTGCTTCCTACATAACCGGACAGGTTATAGCTGTCGATGGAGGACTGACTGTTAATGGAGTCCAGTGGGACTAATCATTGAACCATTCTCTCCTCATTGATGCATTTTGAGGTAAAAGAATGGCACGAGTTCGGTTTCTATGGTAAAATATTAAGAATTGGCTTGAATATCGTCGGTTGGTGTACTCAGCACTGTATACTGTGTACTACTACTATATTCTACATGCATGTCATAATTTTAAATATTCCACTATCTCCAGCTAATTTGCCTATTGAATTATTTTGTATTGGTTTTTTCTACATCTCTTTTTGAATTCATGTGATTTATTATGCTTATTGTTTTTTTTTTAAATCTCTTTTTGAGTACATGTGGACATAGCATGTCCTAAATGTGGATAGACAGTTTCTTTTGCCTTTTTCTTACGTGTGGATAGACTGTTTTTTTTTACGTTTTCAAGAAGTAAACCCAAGATATGACAGAAGATTAACGTTTTGTGGATTCACTAATCCAAGCAAAATTTCTTGAGTTTAGGGTTGTATCTATCGAAATGATTATGTGGACAAGAAAAAGGATAGTGAAATAGAACACAGTTGAACTTTCTACACTCAAAACATTGAAAAAAAAATGAAAGAAATGTACTAAAAGTACAATAGATCCATATGCCATTTTCAAAGGTGGAAAATATAGAAACCTACAGAGCTCCCTAAAACCAAGATGAAGCTAAATGCTTTTCTTGAGAAAATAAAGGTTACTACAATAAAACTTACCCAACCATTTTGAAGATATGGGTTGTATTAGTTGTAAATAAGACTTTTAGGCACCGTATGGTTTGAAGGAAGAAAGAAAAAGATACTAATGGAAAAGAAAGGAAAGGAGAGAAGAGGAGTGTGATTTTCATCTTCCTTGTTTGGATTAAGTGTGAAAGGAAAAGAAATGAATTACTGAATTTTTGTTTGGATTGAAAAAATGAAAAAAAAAAAGATGAGGAAAAGATCAAGTGTTAATTTACTAGCAAAAATATGAAAAAAATTATTTTTTAAAAATTTTAATTAATTTAGTTTCATTTCCCTCGGTTTTTGTTCACTTTTGGACGGAAATCATACCTTAACGAAATAACTAGAGCCTTCCCTCCCTATCCTTTCCTTTCCCTTTTCAAAAATCAATCCAAACAATAAAAATTAACATTTGGTCGCATTGTGGTTTCCATGCTGCAATCTGCATCCCAAGTTTCCGGGCAATACGGCAAAGCAAGTTAGTGCGGGAAGGGAATACTTATAGAATCATCTTTTCATTTTCTTCATCTCAGTCAATGTTACAGACAATTTAAGAGTATCTGAAATTTCATACGTATGGATATTAGGTCTGAGATTGGAACGAAGAATAACTTGCATGCATGTATCTGATTCTTCGTAATGTGACTCAAATTGATTTGAACTCGACATTTGTGTATACTTTCGTCAAGAGTATATTATCAATAAATGACATTTTTTTTTTAAAATTTTTTGAGGAAAATTGGAGAAAGTAGACAGGTTTAACTTGAGAGTGGATCCAAGATCTCATGCTAAAAATACAATCACATTATCACAGGTAGTTGTATTTATCAAAAAAAAAATTTAAAAATATGTGAATGCATGAAGTCTCATTAGCCATCTTCTCTTTTCTAGATGACATGGCTGATTGAAAAGAATTGGTGTATCATTTCGATATTTGAGTTTTACCAACGCTTGATCAAATTCCTTTCTAATTAATCTTGGTTATAATTTCTATCTCTTCTAAGAACCTTTTATCTATTCGCTAGTTAAACATTTATAATACGTTAATGTTTTAAAATTAGCATGAATGACTGTGTGAGAATATTGCTGACTTTTTTATTTATATTGCTTATACTTCCACAGGTTCACAACTAATTAAAGAAAAAAAAAATACTCGAGCTAAATGCTAGTTTAGAATTAATTTATTAAATCAGGCAATTCTACCTTACACGGCGAGAGTGCACTGGGCTTTAATTGGGCTCAACCTATTTTGATCCAACTCAATCCACTTTTAAATTTAGATTAATATTTAGTTCCCAAAGTTCAGCCCAACCCAACGTTATCAAAATTTGAAGCTTGTCTTGGAGCTAGCCGGAACAACAGGTTCTCAGCTGGAGATGCATTTTCGTTCTATCCATAGAAATTCACACATTCCTATTGCACCGAAAAAAAGAAACAAAAAACATTTTTTTGGGATAATTTTCACGCAGAAAAATGGACGTTACAATTAGCGATACAAGGTGGAATTAATTAAAAAAGCATTGCCAGTAAAAAAAAAAAGAGCAAATTTATTTTACAATCAACCCAAAAAAAAAAAAACATTGCCAGCATCAAGAAACAATACGAACCAATATCTTGCAGAAACATTGCAACGATGACAAGATCAAATGTTTTTTAATGATTAGTCCCAGTAGATTCCATTGACAGTAAGTCCTCCATCGACAGTTATAACCTGTCCGGTTATGTAGGAAGCAGCAGGGAGACAAAGGAAAGCAACCAGGGACGAAACTTCTTCTGGTTCCCCAACTCGCTTCATGGGAGTCCTTGATTCTATTTTCTTCAGCTTTTCATCAGAACTGAGCACATGTTTGGTTAATGGGGTGCTGATAACCCCGGGCGCGACGCTATTTACCCGGATGTTATGTTTAGCCCATTCGCAAGCCAAGTTCTTGGTGAGTTGATTCATTGCACCTTTTGTTGCTGCATAGACAGATGCATTTTGTATACTCACGAAACCTGCGATAGAAGAGATGAAGACGATGGTTCCAACCCCAGAGGCTTTTAAGAGAGGATAAGCCAGTTGGGAAAAATGGAAACAAGATTCAAGATTTGTAGACATCACCATATCATACTCTTCGGCAGTAAACTCTTCAGGTGGCTTCCTTTTATTAGTTCCAACGTTATTTACAAGGATGTTGAGTTTTCCACTGAAGATGGAAGTCACCTTTTCGATGAGCTGAGTTCTTTGCTCTCTTGAAGATGCATCACAGACTGAACCGGTGACTTTGAATCCCTTGGAGGACCACTCTCGCAAGCGTTCATTCAGCTCCTCTTCTTTTCTTGCAAAAGTGTGGACTATGGCGCCTAGTTGAGCTAGCTCCTCCACTATTGCACGGCCAATCCCGCGAGTTCCACCGGTGACTAGAGCCGCCGTTCCTGACAGAGACCATCTTGAAGTGTTTTCTTCCAATTTTGACATGGCTGGTTGTGGGCTGATTGATCGAGCACGATTTTTCTTTCTTTTTATGACAAGAGTAATACTCAACGTTGGGAAGGATAATCTGAATCAACCTTTTTCTAGCTTTATTTGCTTTGCCTTGTTTGTACAACATATTCTTCAACCAATTTTCATTTTCGATACACTCTTCCAAATAAAAGTTGTTCCCGTACAATCAAAAGAAAAAAAAAAAAGAAACCCAAAGATAACCATCCAAAGTCCTAACAGAGGATAATTGGGATGTAATTGAGGACAAAAAGGTTGTTGGCAAATAATTGATGGACCTGGGGCCAACGCATGATTGATGTCGTGAAAATTTTGATCTTTTTATTTTCTTGTGGCGTACATTGGGAGTGAAGTGTACTACCACTGCTGATTCCCAATCAATAGCGACTGCACAGAATTCATGTCCTTTTCCATCAAAATGAACGTTCAAAATAACTTCTCAGTTGATGGTAAAATCTGAGAGAAGAAAATTAAATGAAAAGAAAAACTAACCATCCGTTTGGTTGGAATTCCACAGTGGCAATGGCAATGAGTATCAAAATTCCTCAATGGTAATAGGTTTTGACTACACCTTTTCACTTGTTTTTTGGTACTAATTAGGTTGCAAAGGATCTATGAGATACTTTCCATATTTTTTTTTTCTTCATGAATTTTTTTTTCTCTTGCTTCATAATGGGATCGGCTAATCTCTGGAGCCAAACTACCGCCAAGCACCAGCCAACAACCACGGAAATAAAACCCACCACCAATTGCTGCTAAAAAATATCAATTCACCGTGAATACCCAACATCTACAAATCAACAACAAATCAAGAAACCCTCAGCTATCTCATATAGAATCCAGTCAATAACTAGGGAAGTAGAAAAAAAAGAAGAAGAAGCAGAAAACCATCTCTAACTTGGGTCCCATGGTTGAACTTTGCTGGAGGATTGAAACTATTTTTGTTTAACCTCTGTCTAAATTGTATGACCCAAAAAAAAAAGAGACGCTTTCAGTTTCATCACCCCCACTGTCAGCCTACAACCACCCATGTCAAAGGTGAGAGAAAACAACTCTGGATGGTCTTTGTTGGGAACGACAACTCTAGCCACCGGTGGAAGGTGGTCCCTATCAGGAGCAACAGCTCTAGTTACCGGTGGAACTCATGGAATTGGCCGTGCAATTGTGGTGGAACTAGCTCAACTCGGTGCCACAGTCCACACTTGCGCAAGAAAAGAAGCAGATCTGAATGAACGCTTGCAAGAGTGGTCCTCCTTGGGATTCAAAGTCAGTGGTTCAGTATGTGATGCATCTTCAAGAGATCAAAGAATTCGGCTCATCGAAAAGGTCTCTTCCATATTCAATGGGAAGCTCAATATCCTTGTAAATAACGTTGGAACATGCAAAGGGAAGCCAGCTGAAGAGTTTACCTCTGAAGAATACGATATGATGATGTCTACAAATCTTGAATCTTGTTTTCACTTTTCCCAACTCGCTTATCCTCTCCTAAAAGCGTCTGGGATCGGGAACATAGTCTTCATTTCCTCTGTTACAGGTTTGGTAAGTATACAAGGTTTATCTGTTCAAGCAGCAACAAAAGGCGCAATAAATCAGCTGACCAAGAATTTGGCTTGTGAATGGGCTAAAGATAACATTCGCGTAAATTCCGTTGCCCCTGGGGTCATTAGGACCCAATTAAGCCAAGCTGTACTTAATTCTGATGAAAAATGGAAGAAATTCAAATCAAGAATTCCAATGAATCGAGTTGGAGGGCCAGAAGAAATTTCATCCCTGGTAGCTTTCCTTTGTCTTCCAGCCGCTTCCTACATAACCGGACAGGTTGTAGCTGTCGATGGAGGACTGACTGTTAACGGAGTCCAGTGGGACTAATCATTGAACCATTCCCACTTCTCATTGATGCTGTAGTTCAGGAAGAAGTATTGTTTAATCTAGAAGCATTTTGAGGTAAAAGAATGGCATGAGTTCGGTTTCATGGTAAAATACTAAGAATTGGCTTGCATATTGTCAGTTGGTGTACTACTACTGTATTCTACATGCATGTAATTTTAAACATTCCAGCATCTTCAGCTAATTTGCCTATTGATTAATTTAGTATTTTTTTTTTCTAAATCTCCTTTAGAATTCATGTGATTTATTATGCGTCTTGGGTTTTTTTTTTTCTTTTAATCTCTTTTTGGGTACATGTGGATATAGTATGTCGTAAATCTGGATAGACAGATTCTTTTGCCTTTTTCGGAAGTGTGGATAGACAGTTTGTTTTACGTCTTCAAGAAGTAAACCAAAGATATATCAGAAGATTAGCGTTTTGTGGATTCACTAATCCAAACAAAATTAAGACTTGAGTTTAGGGTCCGTTTCAATTGTCTTTATCGAAATGATTATGTGGACAAGAAAAAGGATAGTGGAATAGAACGCAGTTGAACTTTCTGTACTCAAAAAACTAATAAAAAATAAGAAATGAAAGAAATGTTCTAAAAGTACAAGAGAACCATTATCCATATACCATACTCAAAATAATAACTTGAAATATTATCCAAACATTGGTGTTATCCACATTGTCTAACAAGAGAACCATTATCCAAACACGCATGTTATCCATATGCTTGAGAAGTGTGTTTGGGTTGGAATAATTTTTTTAAAAAAATACAGTAATACTTTTTTGATACGATGTATGCAAGATAAAAAAAAAGTAATTGAAAAATATGTTGATGATACAAGCAATTTAGCGTGTATAAATCAGGTGTAAACCAAACACAAAAACCTACAAATACAAAACACTCTAAAACCAACATGAAGCTAAATGCTTTTCTTAAGAAAATAAAAAGCTTACTACAGATAAGGTACGAGAACAACACATAAGAACTTTTAGAATGTAAGAGGCAAATTGGTAGATATAGGGGCTAATCTCCGAATTCCCAATATGGAACTGCAGAAGAGAATTTTCTCTTGTTGCTGCTGGTATAGATTACTATAAAAGACCGAGTACAAAAGACTTTTAACTTTAGAGAGTGCAGGGAGTAACACAGAGAAACACATAAAAGAAAGAAGTTGCCTTTTAAATGCAGAAGAATCAAAATGCGCAAAACTGTTAAATGCGCAGAAGAATTAAAAGAAGTTGCCTTTTAATTCAACAAGAAGGTTAAATGGCCAATAGTAATTGTTTAAATTGGTTGAAACCCATTAACAGTCACTCCTTCATCCACAGCTATAGCCTGTCCTGTGCAGCTGGGAGACAAAAGGAAAGCCACCATGGATGAAACTTTCGCTGGCTCTCTTAAGTCGCCTCATCTAGCTATCTCATTGGACGTACCGCTAGTGAGGTTCAATTGATCGACGGCTCGACGCAATTGACCTCAATACTGTCTTTATCCCATTTACAAGCCAAATTCTTTATGAGTTGATTTACTGCAGCTTTAGTTGCTGCATAAACAGATAAATTTTCAACACTCAACAGACCTGCAACTGAGGAAATGAACACGACATTTCCATTCCCAGATGCTTTAAGAAGAGGATAAGAAAGCTGAGAAAAATGGAAAGCAGATTCAAAATTGGTGGGCATTGAGTAATCTTCAGCGGCATGTTCAACAGTGGGCTTGCCTTTCCATGTTCCAACATTATTTCCAAGTAGATTCAGCTTAATCATCAGCTGTATAATCCAGAGCTGTCTTGGCTACAAGAGTTCCTACATTGTTCACAAGAATGTTTAGCTTGGAATCAAAGATAGAAGCAACCTTTTCGATTAGTTGTATCCTTTGCTCTCTTGAAGATACATCGCAGTTCGAACCAGTGACTTTAAATCCCTTTGAGGTCCATTCTTGCAAGAGTTCATTCAGCTCTTCTTCTGTTCTTGAACAAGTGTGGACCGTAGCACCTATTGCAGCTGCTACCTATTGCAGCTAATTCCTCCACAATTGCTCGGCCTATTCCGCGAGTACCACCGGTGACTAGAGCTGTCAATCCACTGAGAGACCATCTTAAGTTGCTTTTCCCAATCTTTCCCATGGATTAGCTGGATTTATGCAGGTAGTTATGTTGCTGATACACTACTAAGGAGAGAAAATGGGCCTCATATTCTGAGGATTGGGAAAGGTTGATGGATGTATTGTGAATTTTACACTGTTTTCTATTTTTGCGCTGTATTATTTGTAGCCAGAAACTACACTACTAAACATCTGTAATCGGGCAAGTGCTATACTGTATACAGAATCAAATTGGTTCATGAATTTGCACTCTAACATTTGAATTAGTATATTTTCCAAATGGTGTACAAGAAAAAAAAGATAATTAGAACATCAAGCAGGCTGAAAATAACCGTAAAGCTATGATAACAATTAACGACAATACATTGCCGTGATTTATGCAGGTCTAAGATCCTTTAAGCTGTGTTGAATACAAGCAAAAGTACGTCATGGCAGGCCTAAGATCCCTGCTTTTATTTCCTTTTCTTAGTATTCCGGCTATGATTTAGAAGACTTTCATCTTATGCAGGATTGTCGCCATTTGTAATGGCAAGATTTTTTTTTGACATTTTTAGTGTGCATTAAACTACCTTATTTTTTCTCAAATTAAAAATTAAAGATAGTTGTAACAATTTTAGAGTTACCATCCTCTAAATAAAAGTGCAAACCTAAACTATTTTGCACTTAAAAGATTCAAATGTATGTCTGATTAGTCATTAACAAAATAACCTAGTTCTGGAAAAACAATAATGTTTTGGACACAAGTACAATATTTGAAACTGGTGTGAGTAATTTTTTAAGGAGTTCAAAAATTATGTCCGAAATTAGTTGAAGCAATGAGAAATGTTTGCTTTATTACAAGAACTTTAACAAACACTTAATTATCATAGACTGCAGTTACAGAGAGGAACACACAAAAGAAATAAGTTGACTTTTGAATTCAGAAGATCAAAGGCGCAAATTCTTCCTGTAATGTAGAACTCACAAGAAGCTTGAATGGGAATATCAATTAACTAAATCTGACATGATCCATTAACAGTCATTCTTTCATCCACAGCTATGACCTGGCCTGTAATACACGAACCAGCCAGAAGACAAAGGAAAGCAACCAGGGATGAGATTTCTTCTGGTTCTCCAATTCGCTTCATAGGCGTTCTTGAGTCTGCCTTCCTCATGTATTCTGCGTTGTTGAGCCCTTCTTCAACTAACGAGGTCCGAATATTCCACGGAGCAACGCAATTGACCCGAATATTGTCTTTAGCCCATTCGCAAGCCATATTTTTCTTTAATTGATTGACTGCAGCTTTGGTTGCTGCATAAACAGAAGAATTTTGCAGACCAATTAAGTAGGCCTGCAACAGAGGTAATGAACACAATGTTTCCAATCCCAGAAGCATTCACAAGAGGATATGCAAGTTTGGAGAAATGGTAACACGATTCAACATTGGTAGACATATGCAAAGAATAATCTTCAGCAGGATATTCAAGCGCGCTGGCTTGCCTTGGCATCTTGTAACATTATTTACAAGTATATTCAGCTTCCCATCAAAGATAGAAGAGATCTTTTCCATGGTCTGTGTTCTTTGCTCTCTCGAAGATGCATCACAGACTGAGCCATTTACTTTAAATCCCCCGTTGGACCATTCTTGCAGCCGTTCATTGAGCTCTGCTTGCGTTCTTGAAAAAGTATGCACGGTTGCACCTAGTTCAGCTAGCTCCTCCACAATTGCACGGCCTATACCTCAAGTTCCACCGGTGACAAGAAGTCTCATTCCCATCAGAGACCATTTTGGACCCTTTTCGCCGATAACAGCAAGATCTATACTTACCTGTGCTATGACGCTGAAGATGGAAAACAAAGGCTGATGATTTTAATAATAAACCTTAAAATTTTGTGGGCAGGCAATATGATGTTGATTTCTAGTACCAATAGCAAACTGCCTGAAAATGTTTAGGATCCATTGTATATCACCAATTATGACAAGATTCCTGTTTGGAAATTCCAAGGTGGTCAAATTGGAAGCAGGCAAGGGCCTGCGTATCCAAGTTTCATTTCCATTTATTATCATATTAATCATGAAATTCTTCAATACGATTCTAATAATGCAGATACCAGTTACTCTCCATTTTTAATTACTCCATCTGTATTCAAACATTGCAGAACATATATCAAGAATGTGGCTAGTGTGTAGTAACCATTAAATGGGGAGGAATGACTTACAAATGGTTAAACCCCTATAAATTGAAGAGACCTCTCCACCCCAGGATTTTTAACTCTTGAATGAACTTATTTCTCTACCATAGTCTGATTTCTGAAGTATCTGAATAGAGTTACTACTAAGAATGACTATGCTCTGACATAAGTCAGTAAATTTGTGACGCATTTCAACTAATGACATAAAATTCAAGAAAAGTATTTTTTTCATCCACTGTAAATATGTTGAATTGTTTAGTTCAACCAACACTACTAATTAAAAACTATAAGATGTTGTAAACTATCATTAGTAGTTTTTTAATATATTATTATCTTTAGTACCAAGCAAACAATGTGCGAATAACAATTTACATGCCCAATTGGAAATAGAATTAACTGGGGGAAAACAACAAAATGTTGTAAAATCTTGCTGGAAAATTAAACATTTGCATTGATAAGATAAATGGCCTATTCCCCTATTCAAATCCGTTGACAGTCATTCCTCCATCCACAGCTATAACTTGGCCAGTGATATAGGAAGCAGCCGGGAGACAAAGGAAAGCAACTACAGAGGAAACTTCTTCTGGCTCTCCAACTCGCCTCATAGGAGTTCTTGATTCTACCCTCTCCCTGTATTCTCTTTCATTCAGAACCTCTTCCACGAGTGGAGTTCTTATGTACCATGGTGCAACAGCATTAACCCGGATGTTATCTTTAGCCCACTCGCAAGCCAAATTCTTTGTGAGTTGATTCATTGCACCTTTTGTCATTGCATAAACGGATGAATAGTTCACATTTACCAGACCTGCAACGGAGGACAGGAAAACAATGTTCCCAATCCCAGATGCTTTCAGGAGGGGGTAAGCGAGTTGGGAGAAATGGTGACAAGATTCAAGATTTGTAGAAACAATCAAATTATACTCTTCA